GAGTACTATGACTATGAGAGCGTAGTTAGGCTAGGTGTGCGTAGTAATCACGGACCGAGACGGGGTGGTCTGGTAAAGTACAATCCAGCCAAGTTGAGAACAAATTGACCCATTATGATTGGACACACATTATTTATAATGCTAAAGATAGTGTTGTTTTGAGACTTGACAACATTTCAGTCGGTGGCAATTGACAAAAAGTCAATTTTTGCCAATTGCCACAGCGTCACTCGGTGGCAATTGACATTGACGCTACCAAAAAAAAATTCATTAAAAAAATCATACCTTTTTTATTTATGAACGAATCGTCAAAATTCAAAAACTGTGTTACTCAGCAGAGATACGGCTATCATGGACATTGTTTTGTTGGCTTTAAAGCAAAAAAACCATTTTCATACACTAACACAAGACTCACAAGGAGTAATATTACCGGTTCGGTCAAAATAAGGACGAAAACAGGCACGTCGACTTTGAAGCTTTATATATCTCTTATCTGCCTTGCCCTAGAAACAAACCGAAACCAGCTACAGGAAGTCATGTGATTGGATGACCCCAGGAATGACCTGTTTCAGCTTGTTCTCATGTTTGAGGCCCTTACTGGGTGCAAAAGTGACGCCCGATTTATTTACGAGTTCGGTCGCATTTTTTTGGTTTTCTCATGGATTCGGGCAGTATTTTGACATTCGGTCATTTTCAATTATTATCACATTTGTTTCTTTGCAAGCTTAAATAACATGATTTTTAATGTTTGTTTGTTATCACACACTTGGACACAATGATAGTTTGTCTAAAGTGGTATTCACCATTTATAGCTATTTTAATGAGTATGTATCTGACCCACTTTACTACGTGGTATCTGACTCTACTACATTGGCATCTGGCTCACTCAACTACATTGGATCTGACTCGGCTACACTGATATCCGACTGTACTACACACTGGTATCTGACTCTATTACACTGGTGTCTGACTGAGTTGATATGCTGTATCTGACTCTACTATTATTTAAAATTATGCACAAATTCTTTATTCTTTGTTATATATAACCATTGGCTCTATATTATCTTATGTGCCCGAAGGATGAGAAACTACGGATTTTATGTTACAATCCGGGCACCCCCCCTTTGGGCAAAAACGGCGAGACTAAATGGCAAATTCTCTTTCATCCTTGACAGGGCTTCATATGCAAATAACTCTCCAGCCTTCAGAGTCTACCAAACGTAGAATCTAGGTCACAGGCTCCTTCATCCACAACCAATGTTAACTCGGTAAGATTGTACTTTACCGGACCACGGGTTGCTGCCGGTCGGGACTACTTTCGCTATGGCGCCCCTTGGGCCTTGTGCCTGTTCAGCTGTTGCCTGGTGGTCCGATATTCTTCCTTCCCGGGCTCCCCTACTCACTTTCCTACGTCTTCACCCTCTGACTGCCAACTGACGTCTGTTACCGGGTTTTTCAGCCATCACGACCGTGCCCTTTGACCCACGACGCTAATTGGTCAATCTAATCATGTGGTCCACTATTCTTCTCTGGCTCGCGACCGTGCGAGGCGTAGGCCGACACCCCCCCTCCCTCACACACGCCCACACCAACACCCCGTGGTCCGGCAAAGTACAATGGAGGGCGAGAGATGCGCACGAGCGCTCGTTTGCATAATAGCAACCCCCCGCCAGCACGACTTTGCGCGTGCTGCGAAGCAGGGTACGAGAGGTAATTTGCATAATTGGCACCACTGTTCCAGGTTTAATTACCCCGATTGTCCACTTTGCGCCATTATTATTTATTGTGATGCTTGCATGATGTTTTCGCTATGGCTGACCCCGAGATTTTTACTGTTTTTTCATTAGCCAGATTAATTTCTGATCGTTCTGTTTTTGTAAAGTGGTTGTTTGACAACAATTTGTTAATTGATTTTTTGGATGTTTCTTGTGAGTGTGGTGCTTCTTTACCTTTTGTCAAAGATTGTACTTATTCTGCTGACGGACATTGCTGGAGGTGCGTTTCCCGGAGGTGTAGAAGAAAGTTTTCTATTCGCTTTGGGAGCTGGTTCAGCCACTCTCATTTTTCTTTGGAGACTGTAGTGAAAGTGACTTATTTCTGGTCAGGGGCTTATTCCAACAAACAGTGTAGTTTAGAGTGTGGTGTAGGCGAGAAAAGTGTCGTCGATTGGTTTAATTTTTGTAGAGACGTTTGTGTAGACATTTTGGACAGTGAGGATAGGTTTAGTCAGATAGGTGGCGAAGGTGTCGTGGTAGAAATAGACGAAAGCAATTTTGGGAAGAGGAAATTTCATAGAGGCAAGCACGTAGATGGAGTTTGGGTTTTTGGGGGTATAGAGAGAGACAATAGAGAGAACTGTTTTTTTGTAGTGGTAGAAGATAGGTCAGCAGGTTCTTTAGTCCCAATAATAGAAAAATATATTAGGAAAGGTTCTGTAATAGTGTCGGATTGTTGGAAAGCATAGGATAGGTCAGGAGACTGTGGTTATACCCATCAAAAGGTTAACCACAGCAAACATTTTAAGTACCCTCAGATTGGTGCTCACACCAACAACATTGAGAGTACGTGGCACAGTCTGAAGAGGAGCAAGGGCACCTTCGCCAAAACTCTCATAGCTAGTTAGTTATTTCACTGAATTTATTTTTCGTAGTGAAGTTTTGCCGGGATCAAGCCCCTTTCAAAGCCTTTACCTCCTCAATTAGTGAGGTCTTTACAAAAGAAAAGGCAGTCACTGCGCTACGCCAGAAGTGGGCGGCAAACTGCAAACAATTGAAACGGCCGGGCCAGTCTTCAACTTCAACCGCAAAAAAATCTTCAACTTCAACGCAAAAAAATCGAAGGGTGCGCGCCCCGCGCCCCCCGCCGACCAAGAAAACCAGCTCCCGGCTACCGAAACCGAGCACACCGAGCACCCTGTCGTCGTACCACCACCACCCCCAGTCGTCGACCCACCCCCCCCCCCAAGGCGAAGCACCGACCCGCTTCGTTAGATAAAGAAGATGGGGTGGTCCCAAGGAGAGTTATTGGGATCCGAAGGGGGGGGGTTTGCGGTTGGGAA